CCTCCAACCAGGAGGTGACTCCATCAGGCTTCACTCTCCACCTCTTACTGACCTCTGACCTCAGTAGGTGTGATGTCAGTCCAGCAGGTGTCGGTGCTGCCTGAACCTTGGAGAAAATTTTCACACCTCATCTTGTCATGGAGCTGACAGGTCAGACTGTCATACCTACTTACCTCCTTACCTACTTACCTCTGTACTTCATGCTCCAGTTGGTGAAAGTCTCTTTAAATCAAACTAAATCTACTCCATGACTCTTGTGGGGAGTTTTTCGTTGCACTGCGGCGTTGGAGTGATCCGTTATGCAACTGCAGAAAGATTACCAAAGCGTCAATAAGGGGAAAGAGACATAAATATTTGAGCAGCTCTAAAAGCTTTGAGGAGGAAACAATGGAGGCGGCTGGTTTGGTTGTTGTTGATCTCTGTGGATCCAGTCGGTTTAACGTGATAATTTTTTCAAAATAAAAATAAATTTGAGACGCTGAAGAAGCTTCTGGATGTTCCTCTTTACCCTGCATCCTTCCATCTCTACCAGGTCAAACACAAGATGGAAACTAATCCTGGTTCTGTTGAGAAGCAGCAGATGAGGGTCAGATTAAACGAGACATGATGGGGAAATGCCGCTGAGCAGACCTGAGAGTTTCAGGAAGTAGTCTGATCCGCTTTGCCTTTTCCTCCGTTTGGGTTTCAGTCTTTCTCATGTGGATCCGTCAAGAGGAACTGAGTTCAGCTGTGTGTGATGAGGAGGCGGTAACCATGGCAACAGGTGGTGGCGTCCTGCAGCGGTGGTCTGAGACCTGGAGAAAGCTCTGAAACCCGCCGCAGGTTTTGGTTTCTCCTGCCATGAAAATGTTCCAGGGCTGCTCCGTTGTAACGGCCCAGTCAAAGTCCAGCCCTCAGCCTGTGTGAACAGAAACATTGGCTGATTTAATTTGGCTTGTTTTTCCTCGTTAGCTGGTCGGTCATGCGGAACAGATAAACGGCGTTTAGAGCAGAGCAAATCAAATCAGCAGCAGGATTTCAATCCATATCTGGGATCTGATGAGACACATGGAGGAAAATTCCTCTGAATTCCCCACCCTGGAGGTTTGGATCGCTGCGGCCTTTAATTAGGCCCATGCAGAGTCCTTCAGCGAGATGATTAGATTAGCGTCTGCGAGGCCGGCGGCGCGCTCTCAGGCTAACATCAGAACGCTGCCGACATTCTGATGTTAGTTCATCATGTTCGCCTCAGTCGCTCCCTCTGACTTGATCTGATCCGCTTTTATTTATTCAGGAGAAACGTTCACCTCACGACACAGTCAGGATCTGAGACACCAGGAGGATTATGGGAGAAACAGCACAATGCTGTCAAGTTAGAGGCTTTAAGAAGCTGCTTTACCTCCAGGAGATGAACAGAGACCTGACTGACACCGAGACAGGAAGTGGAGCTCCAGGCTGACACCGAGACAGGAAAAGAGCTCCTGCGGACAGGAAGTGGCGTCCTTGTCTAATGGTGTATGCTGCTGTGTGAGTCTATCACCCGGCAGCGGTCTTCAGTCAGAGAGCTCTTCAGATTCACTGCAAGACGGACTGCTACTGGAGACGCTTCGTAGCTGCAGCATCATCAAAAACGACAATCAACAGAGTTCCAACATTTAATTTCATCTGATTTCAGGGAACTAGATGGACCAAGATGTTAGCGTTGATGTAAACATAAGCTAAAGCAGAAAGCTTAAGACTAGCTGAACGTTTCTGCATCGTTAGCAGTGAAGCTAACTGTTTCTCTGCTGCTGTAGCCTCACGTTGCTGCTGAAGGAAACGCAGCATCAAACAGCTGGCCGCCGTCTCTTCCCAGACTGGACCGTTTTCTGCTTGCGCTCCTCCAGTTTTCTACCAGGAAGCAGCAGATGCCCATGAGCGGTGGCTAACGCTGTTAGCTGTCATGGTGCAACAACTGGGGCTGATGGGAGTTTTTCAGCTTGAAGCAGCTTTTTGTTTCCTACTCAGCCGACATTCCTGAAGTTTCCCTGGAGGTTCAAATCACGCATCCTGACAGAAATAGACCTGCTGTGTGTTCAGTCACATGGTGGGGCTTTAAGGGACTGTTTGCCCCCAGGGCAGTTCTTTCAGCTCAATGTGAGAAGATGCTGGGAAGATCCCTGGAGGCGGGGCAGAATGAATGTTTCATAAAGCAGACATGTGACAACCCAGCGCATGTTGTCCCTCCTGAAGATGATGCTAATGCTAACGCTGAAACACCACAGAGACTCAGGAGATGGCTCCCCATTTAATTCGGCTTCACATTTAATTCAGCTTCACTTTAATTCAGTGGCCTGCGACAGACTGGCGACCTGTCCAGGGTGACCCCTCCTCTCTCCCAGAACGTTAGCTGGAGAGGCACCAGCACCTCCCGACCCCACTAAGGGACAAGAGTCTACAGAAAATGGATGGATGGATTTAATTCAGCTCCACATGAACCAAACGAAGCAGATTGAATAAAAACAGGTCATCAGCTCTTTGAGAACCAGTGGAGAGAAACTCTTGTAAGACAACAAACTCTGAATAAAATTTGACCAAAGGTGGTTGTTTCTATGGAAACAGTTGCCCTGCCTCGGGCCTCTGGGCCTGAGCTGGACTCCACCGGGAGAAAGATCCAGAACATGATGGAAAAACAATCTGAATCTGGAGGGTCAAAGGTCAGCGGAGGAATCCTGGAGCGCTGTGTGAAACGCTACAAAATTATCCTGGAGACCCGAACCAGCAGCTGGGATCAGGAGAACCAGAACATCCACAACCTGACTGTGACACGAGCTGAAACCAGCCCACATCACCAACCCTCCACCACCGTGCTGTCAGGAGATGACCTTTGACCCTTCCCAGACTGTTGAGCAGCAGCAGTCGCTCTGAGGTCATTGCTGATTTCTGTCCTGATTCTAACAAACGTCTGTCAGCGGCAGAGACAGGTTCTGGATCTGCTGCAGTGGATCGGGTCAGCGGTTCCTTCCTGGGGAGCCAGCAGTTTCTGGATCTGGTTCCTGTTGGGGAGAATCTGATCTGGTTGGCAGTCATGTCCACTGGTGTTGCTGGATTAGAGCCTCTAATCTGCCTCTCACATCCAGCAGGGATTATTCCTGGGTTTGTTGCTGCAGCTCTCGAGGACGGGCCCATTGTTGCAGCTCACATGTTGCTGCGTTGCCATGCGAAGCTCCGCTGACCTCGTTACCGCTGTGTTTACACAACGCCAGGCTTCATCTGCTGGCAGACGGAGCAGCTGGATCAGAGCAGCAGGCAGGCAGACGCCACACAGCCAGCTGCTGCTGCAGCAGCAGCATGTTGATGCAGCAACATGTTTATGCTGCAGGGGAAACTTGGGGGAACGGAGGAAGTGGATAAACCTCTGAGCTGCAGCTGATCTGGTTTGTTGAACTGGTTAATCAGATCAGCAGCGATCCGTCAGCAGGGCTTGGATTTGGTTCCTAGTGGTTCCCTGCAGGAGGTGAAGGATGCGCCTGGCGTGACCTTTGACCCGGAGTCACCACGTGATCAGAGCGCCCTGCAGGGAAGCAGAGCAGCTCAGGTTGGTGGTGACCTGAACCCTCTGCTCCTCTTCAGGCTCCTCCAGACATTAGCGGTGGCTAGGTTTAGCCTATTTGCAGCAGGAAGTTTCTCCACCTGAAGACCAGCAGCTTCCTACTTCCCGTTTCCCGTTTCCTGTAGAACAAAACATTCATCTGGATTTCACTTCACCTGACCTGGACTGACCTGGGAACATCAGCCGCAGGAGGGATGAGACGGAGACATTACATTTCTAATGAGACAAAATGACAAGAAGAGCCTGAAAAACAACTAATAACTGAAAACCAAAGAAATCAACTTGGCACGTATCCATGGCAACAGATTTACGACTAGAATGTCTCCATGGCAACAGAGTTACAACCAGAACTTCCTGTCTCAGCAACATGTGGAGTTCCTTCTTTCAGTTGATCTTTAGAAAACGTCATGGAGGAGCAAAATGACAGAGGCAGGAATCCATCCGACATGTCGACCGACTGACCAACCAACCGTCCAAATGACCATCCATCCATCCAGCCCATCAACCCAATCTGATTGATTTGTTTCTGGCCTTACAGTCTAATAACAGTGAGTTGTTGATTTGACTGGGCTTCTGTAGGAGTGGAGAACTGGAAGTGTCTCCTGTGGTTCAGCTCTTTCTTCTCCAGCATTTTGTGTTTTTCTGGTTCAGAACCAGCAGATCTAGACGATCTACAGAAAGCGTCATGAAGTTGGTTTGTGTGTGTGTGTGTGTGTATGCTGGTGCAGGAGAGCGTGATGTGTGTAAATCTGCTTGTTTGATGGTCTCCTGGTGTGTGTGTGTGTGTTCCTCCCTGACCTGTCGGGCTGCATATGCTCAGCCATGGCTTCAGTGGATAAGAGGATTATAGCTTCCCTCCCTCTCAGCTGCTCCTTCTGAAGGAAGCGGCTGCAGCTCAGGTTCTGGTTCAGGTCTAGTGGCTGGGTCTAATTCCTGGAACCCTCATAGATTAGTGTACATTGAGGTCAGTAACCAGCTGAGTGGATTACCCAGCAATGGTAGGAAACAGTAGAAATTAGCTGAAAAGCATCTTTGTTGAGCAGTAATTCCTGAATGCTTCAAGATTTCTGTACACTCTTTTATAAAACAGGACTTGTGGAGCAGATTAAAGGTTTGTTTTGGAAATATTAGATGTCCTGATGTCAACTCTGAACTCCACCCAATCCAAAATGGCGGCATGAGCAGCTAGCATGCAGCGTTTCCAGAAAGCAGAGGAAGGATAGCTATTTTTTCATAATCTAATTATGAATTCACATATGTGGCGCTTTGGTTGATTGATCAAAAACAATAATTGTTAATAAACTTCAGATGCTGAAGCAACATTTTCATTAAAGCTTCTTCAAATGGAAATATATATATATATATATATATTTTTTTTTTACCAATTCTGTTTCCATGTTTGAACAGAATGAAAACCAGCCAAATTAAACCCGATTATACAGTAACATGGCGCATGAATATAAATATTGATATTAATGTTAATATTAATATTTCTGCTGCAGTCAATCCGCTCTGGTTTTCATGTCTCACACTGAAATTTTCCAGAAATAATCACTGCTTGGGGAGCGTTCACGGCTCTGATGCGTCTCTGGAGGATTTTTTCTTCTGGTCCTTCAGGATCGTCAGACTTTCCCACAGCCGCCTGGAAGAGTCCTGAGATCAGTGTGTCTATTTCAGGTTAACGGACGGACGGCGGCAGGATGCTGTGGCTGCTGTTCTGTCTGCTTCCTCTGGGGGGCAGCAGCAGCATCGCTGCCCAGGAAGGCGCTCACAAAGCCAAACTCGACAACGGTGAGTTTCCTGCTGCCCATTGGTCCTTGAGCTACATTGCTATGCTATGCTATGCTAAACTGTGCTATGCTAAGCTATGCGGCGCTAGGTTTTAGACCAAAACATTAGCGCTGTAGCTTTTGTGTCTGTAGCAACATGGTGGCTGGAGAAGATAAGATGGTCGATATTAAATATTTAACCTTCAGCCTAATTAAACCCTTTGATCATCAGCAGCCAAACATTCAGCTCAGGTTATTTTTAAAAACAGGAATGTAACTGAACTCTGACCCTGTTAACAGAAACCTTGAGATCAAAAATCAGTTCAAAGCCACAAAGAGCAACTTTTAATAAAAACTGTAAACATTTTTAAAGTTTCAAGGTGGAGAAACGTTTTTATTTTGCTCTGTAGCACAAGCTAGCTAGCAGTTAGCATCAAAGTTTAACTTTTTAGACACAAATCCCTCCCCCACAGCATGATGCTGTCACCGCTGAACCTCTCAGCTTGCTTTGTGTTGTCATGGTTACCGATGGTTGCTATGGTTGCCGGCGTTGCGTTTGGTGAGTGGCTCGTTTATTAATTATTTACATTTTCACCTTTGAAGCGGCTCAGATAGCCGTTGTCCCTGGCAACCGGCAGCTGGGGTTTCCCACTCAGGTCTGAGCACCTGAACGCCTTGCGATGCGTTCGGGTGTTTAGGAGGGAAGGTTGCGACTCCTTTCCTGTTTTGAAGCTCGTAGAAAAAAAAAAACAGTTTATTAATTTACATAAATTAAATTTCATTTAAAAAAATTTTTGTTAAGCAAAAAATTTAATATTTAAAATTTCCCAAAAATCTTAATTTTTTTTAAAAAAGATACTTTTAAAAAGTATCTTTTTTTAAAGATTAATTTAACATTAATTTATCGTGTTAAATTAATGAACGTTATTTTTCTACTTTTTGCAGTGCATTTCTGTTGTCATGGCAACATTTTAGATGAATTTGTTTCCTTTGACAGAATGCACTGTAAAAACAACTTAACAGGCTGTAAAGTTTTACTGCAGGAAACTTTAAAAATATATTTTATTTTTGGTTTAATGTGAAACAGAAGCAAATAATTTTTTATTTGAACTTTTTCAGGTTAAATATTAAAACAGAATCTAAAGTAACTTCATAGAACCGGGTTCTATTGACCCAATTCTATTGGTTCAGTTCTGTCGGTCCGGTTCTGTTGGCTTGGTTCTGTTGGTCCTGTTCTATTGGTCCAAACTCGTTTATTCATCAGCTTCATGTTTCATTCATTTAATATCCAGAGAGCCACCGGTTTGCACCGGGGTGAGCTCTGCAGAACCCACTGCTAGGGCTTCTGTTGACCTGGTTCTGTAGATCCTGGTTCTGTAGATCCCGGTTCTGTAGATCCCGGTTCTGTAGAACCTGGTTCTGTAGATCCCGGTTCCGTAGATCCCGGTTCCATAGATCCACGTTCTGTAGCTCAACGTTCTGTAGATCCAGTCCAGCCTGGACTCGGTCTCGTCGGTCCACATGATAAACATTCAGCAGATCTGATTGGCCGATTCATGGCTGTTTTTTTGTGCGCTGCGTCTTTAAATCTCTTTCTGCTCCTTCGGTTTCTGACCCGGTTCTACTCAGAACCAGTTACCGTCAAATTCCTGATCCGAACTGCATCCATCTGATTATCTAGTCAAACTACATCTACGCTCCGCATCACAGGGAAAACTGCCATTTCTCTGATAATTTCCTGTTTCCTGACCACATCGACTTATTACTGGAGACCTGTCTCCATGGTTACCGTGTTGGACGTTCTGTCTCCAGGGACGCCATGTTGGATTTTCAGGCTTTTGGGAGGCGCGGT